TGGAATCAGCAGCAGGCGGCAGGCAGAGCTTAAATGCAAGCTATAATGCGCCAGCGCACGGACCGAACACAAACACATAGGTTTGGGGCCAAGTAGCTTCTGCCTGGCGTATGGCTGCTGGAGATTGAAATCCTTTTCGCACGTGGCCAAGAGTTGCCGAGAAAAAAAGTCCGCTCCAGGTGTGAATCTCAAACTGACACTGGTCGAAAGTTGCTTGCAGCTGCTTTGACTTTGCGGGGTGGGAGTTGAAAGGTCAAGCCTGCCTGTCTGCCAAGGAACTCGGGCTCGTGCTACACGTTCTTCGGCAGCTGATCCTGGATGGCATGCCGGGCGCTGTGCTGAGCAAGTGCAGCAAGCCAGGGTTTGGTGCTGAACACGCGTAGGATGTAGCGTGCTGAGTTGACGCTAAACAAGCGTAGGATGTAGCCAACATGGCATGGTGCTGGACAAGCACACAGTGCTGAACAAGCACTCAGGTCAACGTTGTGCTGAACAAGCACAGTTCAGTGCTGGACAAGCACACAGTGCTGAACACTTCTGAGTGTTGAACCCTGTGCTGAACAAGCGCAGTTCAGTGCTGGAGGTGCTGAACAAGCACTTCTGAATCTGAGTGTTGAATGCTGTGCTGAACAAGCGCAGTTCAGTGCTGGACAAGCACGTGGGGTCTAAATGAGGCTGAGCAGCCAGCGGCCGCTGTCGTTCGCTGCGGGCGCGCGAGCCAGCGAGTGCCTTGGCAGTACATTCAAGCTGGGGAACCCAGGGAAGGGAGGTCGCCTTTGGGTCCTGGAAGGTCGCCTTTAACCACGGGGAGGTCGCCTTCGGGTCTTGGGACGTCGCCTTTGAGCAGGGGGAGGTCGCCTTCCGGTGAGTTAGCGACCATGCCTCAAAGGTGCAAAGGCGACCTGCCTTTCACAACACGCCCCCAACACATGCATGAAGTCGAGTCATACAAGCGCGCCTGTCACTGAGCTTGTTCAGCCCAGAGTTGCTGCTGTGCTTGTTCAGCACTGCTGCAGGAAGTGCACTTGCTCAGCGCTTGGCCACTGCTTGTTCAGCAATGGGATGCTACTTCGCAGTGTTTGGAGCTGCTCAGAACGCCTTGGATTCCTTGCCCCTTGCCATGAAAAGCATGAAGGAAATGGACATGAAGGCCATGAAGGCCATGAAGACCATGAAAGCGACAAAGGCCACAAAGACCATGAAAGTCATGAAGGCCAAGAGCGCAAAAGCCAAATCAAAAAAACTAGGCAAGGCTGAGTCGCTTACAGGAGATGCTTGGCGTGCGTGGGCAAACCACGTCTGGGCAACTGGCCCAACCTGGGTTTGGGTGGTGGTGTGTTTCACACACCTGTTCTGTTGCCGGGTGACTGAAGTGCTCAAGTTGAAGCTAGTCCACATCAACCTCCAGGACAAGTGGCTGACAGTCCCTGCGCTCAAAGGGCATGGGGAAATCCGCAAGCCTATCACGCCAAGCGCTGAGCACTTCTTGAGGAAGCTCGAAGCAAATGGTGGTGAACGAGTGCCTCGGAGTCGCAAGTGGGGAAGTCGGGGCGTGTGCACCTATCAAGATGAGTGGGTCTGGCCAAAGAAGAACGAGGACTACTTGTTCCCAGCCCTCCGTGAAGACGCAGAGCTCCAGCGGCGGAACAAAGCCACTTGCCTGACACTTAGTACAGCGTTATGTTTTCCAGGACTGCTGCTGACACTTTGATTGCCTGCGACCAGTTGCCCACAGGATGTGGTTTCGGCTGCCATCCGGCGCATCCGCAAGTCCTACACGCCCCCGGCAACATGCTCTGTGAAGATCTCCAACATTCGGTCTCATTCTGGCCGGCAGCGAAGCATAAATGATTTGAAGCTGACCAATGTCAAGAGCGAAGTTGGCAAGAGCTTTGCTCGTATCACCACTGACTCCGTCTGGGAGTCATATGGCAGGCTTACCGAAAATCAGGTTGCTGAGTCCCTGCTCGGAAACGCGAGCTTGCAGCAACTATGGCAGACCATGTACTGATATTTCCTTGTCTCACATTCTGATACCTTGTGAATCTGGAACTGAGGCGAGTTGACATTGAACTAACTAATAGCCCGCCAAAAGGCACAACCCGCTGGAAGCTGAAAGTCGGCCCAAAAAAGGCATTTAATTCCGAGCTGCCGTGCTGCCTGACACGCACCATGTAACATGAAGCTGCTGCGCCAGAGGCCCAGCCGCTGCAGCCCAGCTGCCGCAGCCCCACAGCCGGCGGCCGCTTCCCCCTGCGAGTGCCAGGAGACCGGGAGACATGTTGCAAGTCATGCCAAGCAGTTTGTTGCAAGAGCAGCAAGCACAGGGACGCCTTTTTGCCTTTGGCTGCGGCACACTGTAGTGACCCTGTGCGCCCCAATGCCCCCCGGGTGTCAACACAATGCTGTATTGAAATGGGCAAGGCCATTCTGAACGTTTACAATGTGGTTGCATTTTTCTCCTTGTTCACAAATCATTGGATAGGGGCCCTTCTTGCTGCCAGCCTCGCTGGCAGGGCCAAACCAATTTCAAGACAGATTGCAACTGGTTCCCAAATAATTCAACTCAGCTGTTGCCTCTTGCGGCTGCAGCAGTTGCACTAAGCCCAGCCCATCCCATGTGGCCTTTCAGCCTGTCTTGGAAACCAAATGAACCTCACTCATGCAGACTTTCTTTCCTGACCTCAGTATTTGACCCGGAAGACAGGCTGCCGGCTGGGCAAGGGCCACTTGGCCCACTCAGGCTAGAACAACCAAACTGGCCGGCGGCTACATTTGAACTGCAACTCGGCCAGCCAGGATCTCAGCACGCAAAGGGCTGGCCATCCAAGCTTTCAAAGCCATTTGGCGTCGCTCTTGGCTGGGTTCAAGGCCGCATGTTGTAATCCACTCCTTCACAAACTTGTGCTGAGCATCCTTCATGGACCTCACTGCCACCTGCAAAGCCGGCGGCGCTGGCGGCGCTGGCGGCGCTGTGGAGGTCGGTGTGCGCAAAACGCCTTTCTTCACGTACTTCTCGTGCCAAATCCGAGAGTTTGCCCGGTTCTGCTCCTTGCGGCGCTCCACCTCCTTCTTCTTGCTCTCCGGCGTCAGCTTGTTGAGCTGCCGCCCTGCCCCATGGGCCTGCTCTGAGGCCTTTTTCTGCTTGGTGGCTGATGCCTTCTTGGGCTCTGTGGCAGCTGAGGCCTTCTCCTGCTGCTCCGTGGTGAATTCCTTCTCCTGCTCTGTGGCCTTCTCCTGCTCTGTGGCCTTCTCCTGCTCTGTGGCGGATGAGGCCTTCTCCTGCTCCTTCTCCTGCTCCTTCTCCTGCTCCTTCTCCTGGTCCTGGTTTGTGGCGGATGAAGCCTTCTCCTGCTCTGTGGTGGATGAGGCCTTCTCCTGCTCCGGCTGCATTGCAGCAGCTGAGGCCTTGTCCTCCTGCGTGTCAGCTGCCATGTTCTTGAGCCGGCGGATCTTCTGAGGCCGCTCAGCAGGACGCTGCCTGTCATCATCTTTGTTGCCTTTGTCGACTCCTGTCAGGCCAGGCCTTTTCCTCTGCGTTGTTTGCCAATCCAAGCTGCCAACCAATTCCAAAACAATGCAATCAATGCGTCTGATTCCAAAATACGCGCAAGCCGCAAGCCTGTGCAAGCTAAATTCTGGGCCAGCAGTGAATTATACAGCCAAAAAGGGCCGCTGAACATCTCCCCAAGACAACACGCAGTGCCATTAATTGTCAAAAGTTCTGACGGGCTCAAATATAAACCTGCGCACAAATGGCCACTTTCGACACCAAGAATGACTAGTCATCCCCAACCCTCCTGCGGCAAAGAAGTGGTCAACGTCAAGCGGGCCGGGCTGCGTGGCAGGGATCATGCCATGGGGGTCCTCCCACAGCTGCGCATCAGTCCACTCGTCCGCCGGCAGAGTGTCATCCATCTGTGTCTCGGCAAAGTCCAGCGTCTTTGGAGGTGCGCACCCCTCAAACCTGAAACAGAAGTCAAGCTGGACGTTGTCTTCATTTTGTGATTCTGCTGCCATTGATTGAATAACAGTGGTGAGTGATGGTGACTGAGACATGAGGCGATGGTGATGATTGTAATAATTTTACCCCTGAAAAGGGTGATTGGCTAGCAATGTGAAATGGGTGCCGTGTTCAAAGCTGACTGTCATAATGAGTGACCCTAATACGCTTCCAAGCAGCACTTCAGGCACAGCTGCCAGCGGAGAAAAATCCTGGGACCCAGATTTACATGCACAATTGAATCTGAAGCAGTGACACACTGGTCCTTCAATCGCGCTGGCGGCGTGTTGGTCGCATCTGGCTCCACTGCAGAGCACGCCGAGGCAAAGTGCTGGCGGATGCGGAGGGCGCTGGGGCGCTGCGCAGAGGTGTCGCGGATTGCCATCAATCCAGGCTGCAGCGGGCTGCGATGGAACTCCATGGGAGAGTCGTCCACACTGAAAACTGCAGGCACCCTAGCCATTGCTAATGGCGGCACTCAAAACTGACCTAAGCCGAGATCTCGCTGGGAACGCGTGTGTAGCAACAAGCTTTGGGCACAAGACTCAACCAATTCAATGCCCCTGCCCTGCCCTGCCAGCATCTGCTCGATGCGCTCTTTGTGTCTTAGCCTCGCCGGTCTGGATTCTTTCTGAATCACAGCGCTCCCTACAGCAACATCATGTTGCACTGCACCCTGAGCCAACCTCAAAGCAACTTGCCACTTGTCCTCTAGGCAGCCAACTCAACGTTCTTCAGACCATTTGAAACAATTTGAATTTTGTGGTCACTTTGAAGTGCTTTAAATAGCAGGCTGCCAGACTGTGTGCAAGTCGCTTGTCCCCATCCAGACTGCTTCAAGCGGCATGCGGCAAACAATCCAGTCAAATGACAACATTGCATGTTGAATCTCATGTTGCCGTTACCGCGCACTGCCCTAAGTCTCAAAAATGGCACAAGTGACTGCGCCAGATCTATTTCACAGCTGCTGCTGCAGCGCTTTGCCTTGGGCCTGGGCCTACACAATTCGCTTGCACTCGTCCTTTCCAAGGCTGAGGCCAGCAGGAAGAAACCAAAGAGGCTTGGCTGCCGCAATGGTCTTGTCAGAGTTGTAGACGCGAATCCTCCAAACCTTGGCTGACACAACACAGTGAGTGCCAAGCTCAGCCTGGATTGAAGACGAGACAAGGAGCAAGCTTCAGCACCTTCTCCAGCTTTGCTTTGGTGAACGTGGAGGCCACGTTGTGGCTCTTGAGGCTCTTGATGGCCACATTGTTTGCTTTCCACAAAATGTCATTGGTCGCCACAATGGTGAACTTGTCATCTGCGTGGCCCTGGGCCACCTCTGGCGGGCGTGTCACTGAATGCCCTCCAAGAGTGAAGTCCACCAGGCCGCCCTTCTCCACAGTTTGGAGGGCCTTGCGCAAGGTGCATGGTGGACTATCCGCCCCATCCGCCTCCAAAACCACCAAATCCTCATCACTGTTCCACTTGCACTCAAAGCCTTTCTCAGGGTGTTCGGCCTTGAGCTTGGTCGCCTTGTCCCCCAACAGCCACGTGCCTGCCCCGTGTGCCAGAAAGGCCATGCTGGAGTCTATAGAGACGGCTTCCTGGGCGCAAACAAAGAGGGCGTGGTCCTCTAGCAGCATCAATGTGCAGCCTGGCGTTCCTGTCACAGTCATCTCGGCCAAGGCCTTACCGTGCTTCTCCTGCGCAGCAGCCACTGTCTTGGCCTCATCGCTGAAGACTGCAGCCCAGTCAAAGCTGCCCGCAGCAGCTGGCCCTGCTGCGGCAGCTGGGTCAACAGCAGCAGCCGCAACTGTAGCAGCAGCAGCTACTGGCTCAGCATTGACGCTCCATGCCTTGTCGAAGTCCTTCAGCACATCCCTCCACTCTGGGCCCCACAGCGGGCACTGCAAAAAATGCTGTCGAATGTCCCGGGGCAGCAGCAAAGTTCCCTGCTGGTGCTGGCAGATTTCCAGAGTCGGCCTCTCTGGCGAGACTGGCATCTCTTCCTGGGCTGGGCTTGCCCGGTACCGTGGGGCCACCTTGTCCATGGGCTGAATGTTGTCCTTCCACGCCTCAATGAGCAGCAAAATGCGCAACACACAATGGCACAAGAGCTTAAAATCAACTCACGCCTGCAGCAACTGGTTGCGAACCGCGTTGGACGCACACTGGAAGTTGGCTTCCACAGGCGTGCTTCCCATGACCGGGAGCCCAAGCTGAAGGCAAGCCAGCTCTGCGCATCCGTCATAGGATGTCATGTGGATCACTGCCACAACCTGCTTGGTGCGTCCTTTTGCATCATCGCCTGAGGGCTCGTGATCCAACAACCATGAGATGAAAGCAAGAACATGTAATAACAACCATGAGCGCGCCAAGCCACCAAGCAAAGACTTGAAGATGGCCTTGGGCACGCCGACGCCACCAAGCCACTGCGCCGTTTCCTGGAAATCTGTGAGGTTGCGCCGCTGGTCGTTCGAGTGCAGCAGGGAGTCACCAGGAATGATAAAGTCCTTCTCCTGAATGGCAAAGGGGAAGTCCTTCACAGCCAACGCCTGCTTCTGCCACAGCGGAGAAGCGCAGAACCTCAGGTTGCTTGTCAGGGCGTTGGACATGCCGCGTAGACAAGCTTTAAAATTTGGCAACAAGTCAATGCCAGGGAGCGAGTTGGCCTTGACCCCATCTTGCCCACTGGTTGGAACACCCTTGACTGCTCTGTGGGCGGTTCCCTTCATCGGAAGCGCGTGGTCCTGCACGCCCAGGAAGCACAAGTAGGCTGCCGGCAACTCCCTGTTCCGATGCAGCTCACTCAAGTCCAAGTTCAGAGTGAACTGTCGGAGCTCCACCTTGTTGGCAGCCATCTTGTCTTCAATCCGGCGCCAGTCCTGCCGGAGCGAGCCGCCAGAAGTACTGCCGCTCAACAAAGGTGGCAGGATCACAGCGATGCCACCTGCCATCATCATCAGAATCAATTGAATCAATTAGCGCCCATCTGGCAGCGTCAGAAACAAACAAATTCAAACCAAGTCCACCTGCGCCGTAATTCAAATGCTTCTCCACTGTGTCTGCCACGTCGTTGACTTCCTTCTGGGTCATGACCCCGAACTTGGTGCAATCGACGTAGAGGATGAGGCGCACATCCAAAGGGCTTACCTGGCACAACTCAATCACTGTCACCACTGTCACCACACGCCACGTGCGTGGCACTCGCGCTGCCTTGCCTTGTTGCGAAAAGCCACGGCCTTGAGGAAAGCCTCTGGTGACTTTGGCCCAATGCCAGGAGTCAAGCTGACAGAGCACCACTGCTCCATGTAGGCGTCTGCCAGCCTGGGGGCTTCCAACGTAAAGTCTTGCAACGACTGCTGCTAAGAACTTTTAAGCATCTACTACTCAATGAGACAAGCAGCTTCTTGCCGGTCTCAACCTGGCTCTTCTCGTGCAACACGCTGATCACGTGTGCCCGTTTCCTGTTTTCTTCCTGCCGTGCGTTCCACTGCGCCATTGCCATCATGTCCGAGCTGAGCTTGGCGCGCACCTCCCGGAACCTGGCAGCCTGGGCCTCATCCTCAGCAATGCCAATGTCGACGCTGTCGCTGATGGTGATGGTCGGCACCTTGGGCTCCACGTAGTCCGCCCAGACCGCCAGGTGTGACACCCGCCAGCTGTCCAGCTTTGCTACAATCGCCGCCTCTATGTCCGTGAAGTAGGCCCTTGGCAGTCATTGCTTTCTTTCAAGCACCACGTGCGCGCGCACGCCCTCTCTCTCTCACATACTCACACGCTCAAAACAACCAAGCTTCTTCTGGAGGAACAGCTTGTAAAGCTGTTCCTCCTTCTCAGCTGTCCATGTGGACAGCTGCCGGGCAGCAGTCAAGATTGTGGCGAAGATGCAGGCGTAGTCAGCATGCCTGTCAAAGACCTCGGGCGCAGCGCGCGTGCGTGACCTTGCGCTTGGCCGGAGCTTCCTGCCCCCCTCGACGAATGTGTGCACAATGAGCTCGAAGTGCATGCGCTGCGACTCAGGCGTCACTGTCAGAGCTTGCTTCATGTCAGGAGGGCAGGTAGACTTGGGCGTCGCACCCACCAACCAGCGGCTACCCTTGAATTGCTCCACGCTGAAGGCGCTCTCCCGCCACTTGTGGTGGTTCAGGTGCTGCCGAAGGACTTGCCGGGACTCCTTGGCTGCAGGATGACACTACAAGACGCAAATGAAGCCATTTACATGTCGTAATGTCAAGCCAAGTCGCCTCGCAGCTGCCGGAAATCAAGTTCAACAGGGAGCGAAACCGTTCAGCATCGACCCTGTGCTTCTGCTGCAGACCTGACGTCTCGTTGAATTCGTCCACAACCTCCTGCAGCCGCTGCTCCGGGGTCCAAAGCTTGTTGTGGACACCCTGCTTGTCTCGCATCTCAATAATCTGCGAAAACCGCAAGGCCAGCTGCAGCGAATTGGGCGGCTGTCTCTCTGAACCTCTGTAGGACAAGCAGAGGTTCCGGTAGCTCTGCTTTGCTGTGTCCATGTTCACGGAGATCTCAGTAAAGTCACAAGCAGCTCAGGGCACAAAGTCAGCAAACTTGCCACGCGGCGCACTGTTTACAAAGACAAGACGCGTGCGAGGGGACAAGCCACACAAGGGCATTCTCGAGAGGTTGGAGCTTGTCCATGGTGGACGGGTCGCCGAGGTCATATTCCGCAGCTGCTATCAGCAGCAAGGCAAGCACAGAAGATCTTGTCCAGCCTTTGACCTGGTCCAGGGCCGCAGCCTCGCAGTTGATGCTGCCTAAGAAGTTCGGGCGCCAGCCAACGCCAAATGAAGCTACCCCGCATTCTGCAGAGATATGCAGTAGAGCAGCTAGCCCCTGGCGGCACCTCAACGGCGACATCAAGTGGCTCCCTGCCCAGGTCCACCGAGCCGAAGAACATGCTCTCAAAGCAGCCCATCCAGTCTTCTAGGCATGGCAGCCCGTCCACTGGCTTTGCAAACCTGAGCAGCGTCAAACGCCAGTGAGCAATACCATCAACTGCCCAACCCAGGCCCAACTGCAAGGCTAGATGCCGCAAGCAGGTGATGGGGAGCTTGATGGTCTCCCCGTCCATGCTCGACTTGATCTCGCACGGCGTGTGTGCAAACTTCTGGGGCTTGCCGAGCAGCTTGGAGTACTCTTCGTACCAAGACTCCAAGTGACTCAAATTGACCTTGTCCGTGGGCCTGCCAGAGGCAAGGTTCTCAATCACCAGGCTGGCCGGATGGGCGTCCAAATCTGCATCCTGACGTGCGCCGGGCAGGCCAGCAGGTGACTTGAAGCTGGCCACGAACTCGCAAATGTCCTCAGGGAAGTATGAAGTGACTCTGCAATTCTTTCACAATAATCTGACCCCTGACACAATGTTTCAGAAATGATGAGTATTTCTGATGCGCCGGAGGATTTCGGGCTTTCTGGCGGACCTTTTCGATGTACCGGAGGATTTTCTGGTGGGCATTTTTGATGCACCTGAGGATTTCTGGAGGTGCGCTCAATGCGCCGGAGGATTTTGGGCGGGCATTTTCGAGGTACCGGAACATTCTGGCAGGCATTTTCGATGTACTGGAGGATTTCTGGCGGGCATTTTCGATGTACTGGAGGATTTCTGGCGGGCATTTTCGATGTACTGGAGGATTTCTGGCAGCGTGTTCGATGCACCTGAGGATTTCTGGCGGGCCTTTTCGATGTGCCGGAATTTTTCTGGCAGGCATTTTCGATGTACTGGAGGATTTCTGGCAGGCATTTTCGATGTACTGGATGATTTCTGGCAGGCATTTTCGATGTACTGGAGGATTCCCGGCGGGCATTTTCGATGTATCGGTTGGCAACCAGTGCATTGAAAATGGGGCCCCTGCATCCCCCTGGCCAAGCCACAAACACTACGAATTACAAAATAGTGCATTGATTCTGATCTGGAAATCCAGAAGTAAAATCAATGTACTGGTTGGCAACCAGTGCATTGATTCGGGGGGGGGGGGGGGGGCGGTGGGGGGGGAGGGGGGGGAGGGGGGGGGGGGGGGGGGGGGGGGACGGGGGGGGGGGGGGGGGGGGGGGGGGGGGGGGGGGGGGGGGGGGGGGGGGGGGGGTGGGGGGGGGGGGGGGGGGGGGGGGGGGAAGGGACGGGGGGGGGGGGGGGGGGGGGGGGGGGGGGGGGGGCGGGTGGGGGGGGGGGGGGGGGGGGGGGTTGTTTTTTGGGTTTAGGTTCAACCCGGGGTTCACTTGGCATGATGCCCGTTTCAAACCGGGCGTGTGAAATCCTGGGTTTTCAATGTGCTGGTTGCCAACCAGTGCATTGATTTTGGTTTGGAAACCGCAGAAGCATATCAATGTACTTTTTTGTAAAGTACATTGAAAAACAAGAAACAAACAAGACTGGCGCAGATTTTTGCAGTTGTAGCATTTCAAGGTACATTGAAAAACATTGATTTCCTGAAGCATTGACCAAAAACAAGCGCGTTTGCGTAGCCATCCTTGGCCAGGGTCAGGTCGCCACCAGGAAGTTTCTTCAAGCCCCGCTCCCAAGCAGCGCGCACTTGCTTGCTGGGCGGAGGGCTGGCGCCGGCATTTTCTTCGCCTTTTGCCTTCTGGTCCTGGACCTGCTGCTTGGCCGCTTCCAGCTTCTTCAACATGCCGGCGCGCGCGGGACAAACTCCAAAAAGTTGCGGCGGGGATTCAATAACAACGTCCAGCAAACAAACTTTCACAGCATCTGCGCAATGAAGTTGCACACTAGTTTCGCCGGCCGGCTTTTTACTGCCTTCGGTTCCCAACAAGAGAAGCTATTGGCAGCCAAGGCCTGCAGGTAGGACACTGCGCGATTGTACTCTTGGCCATAGCAGGCGTGGACTGCAGAAGCCAACTTCCTCCACTCTGCAGCATTTTGAGCAGTGTGGTTGTTTGCTCGCCTTAGCTGCCACGCCCGTCGGCCGATTGGAACTCATTGTGTGGCAAACATGACCCAAGCCTCGTTGGCAAGGCGTGTGTGGACTGCGCACGGGGGACCGACTTAATTTGTCAAGACACTTTGTCAGAGGAGCTGTCAATGAAAACTGACGCGCGCGGGCTTCTGTCTGCACCAAGAGGGGTCGCTGCGATAGCTGGTCATCACAAATGTGCTGCTTGATGAGGCAAACCGTATCATTGGCGCCAGGTGGGCCAATATAAGAGCCACGGTCCACTATTCGTTCAAGGGGCGCCGGCAAATCTGGCCAGGGCAAAGTGCAACAAGCTGCAAAGTTGAACCGGTCAGAATAATAAGCACTGAAAAATATTTTCAAAAATACTGGGCCTTGTCTCAGCACGTTCAGGAACAAGTGGTTGCCGCGAGCATCCTCCAGCAACCCGCCTTCCAGGCGTACACCTGCAGGATAGTGCGCCCTCCAGTCACGTGTGGCATTCAGGTTGCGGACTGAAACCTTGGTGTGTGGTCCCACCCAATCTCGAACTGCGGCTTTTGTGAGCTCGTCCTCAATGACAGCAGTGACATCGCCAGCGTCCAGAAGCCTGTCTGTGTTTCCCACTCTTCGAGCAAGAAGTCCCCAAAGTTGGTCTCAGAGCGACCAAGTTCAGAATTTATAAGGCGTGTAGACAGGCCAACCGCTGATCACTTTGCTGCCAAGATGCCTATTTTACAGTGCGTGTGCGATTTGCGTAGGAATAGTAGGCCAGTTTGCCGGGCGTGAAATTTTGAAACCAGCATCTGAAGGTACGAGAGGCAATACATATTCTTGGCCTCCCGCACGGTATTATCTGCCTGACGCGCACAGCATCCAGTCGTGCTACTGTTCAGAATTGGCAAATTGTCACACACACACACACACCGGCACCTGAATCAGTACGGATTTTGGCATCGACTTGCCTTTCTCTGTGCAGATCAGTCTGACCTGGACTGTGCCCAGCAATGGTATGTCATGGCAAACTAGTAGATTCAGGCACGCTATGTTCAAAAAGCCAAGTGTCCTTCTCGAGGGTAAGTGCCAGTATCTCAATGATGCATGAGGAGTCGTGCTTTGCAACATCGTCCATGACAAAAATTTCCAGCACGTAGCCAAATGCCCAGGCCCCATGCACCTTGAGGCGAGGGCGCTGATGCTTGCTCCTTGGCGCAGCAACTTGTTTAGACTCAATCTTCGACACTGACTGCAGTCAGCTCACAGGGACGCGGATGGTCGAAGCTGGGCGTCTCGTGGAAGAGCAAATTTGGCTTGATCAAGCCCGTCTATTGATATCACCAAGACGTCTGTGTTGAAGTCAGCCGACTCGGTATGCAATGTCCACAGAATCGTCCGGTCGCAAAATTGATTGTGCAAGTGCTTGCGGTACTCGGTCAATGCAGCCAGCTTGGCTTCCATGGACTTGGTCTTGTCACTCAGCGCGTGCCTGTGCTTGTGGCAAACTTCGCACTGCGAAAACAACGTACGCTGCCGGAACTTCAGCACGGAAGCCCATCGAATTGTGTACACCCTGTGGAAAGTAGTGTACCTCACGTGGAGCAGAAATGTAAGACACAGAGGCAAGCGTGCAATTTAATGCGCTGCTCTCCGACTTCAAGGTGCAACGCGCACTAACAGCCAAGCAACGACACAAATGGGGCACCAGCTAATTGCTGGGTTGCCTTGTAGTGCTCGAAGAGATCAGCAACAGTGCCAGGTGGCAGAAACTTCTGCACAAGAGATTGACCAGGCAGAAGCAGGGATTTGCTGGCTGAATGTGAAAGCCATTCCTCCAACTCCTCTGTGTTGCCCACCTCTGAGTCAACTTCTTCAAAGTCACTGTCGCTAGAATTGTCGAGGTCCTGTTTGCGTCGAGCAGCCCGGCCCCTTCGCACAAACCTGCAGCAAAGCCAACTTGCACAGAACCAGCTTCATCCCGCGGGCGTCACAAACTAAAATGAAAGTAAGAGCTAAGCCGCTGGTCAGGAAGGGTTTCAGCCAAAGAATCATAGAGTATCTTCAAAAAGCCGTCCACTGACCACGTAGTCTCCCTGCTTCTGCCTTCTTTTCTGCCGCACCGCAAGTCTGGGGCGCCTGCTTCCTGCCTCCGAACTCTGTCCCGGCCCATCCCTAACAAGGCGGCCAAGCACTTTAGCCCAACGGCTTTGTCCAGCAAAGTGTGAGCCCGCTCTGTTGCCTGGCTGCTGCCTGCGAAAGACTGATGAACCTCAGCGTGAACAATACACTGATAATAGTTGCTCCCCACCTTTGCTGCAATCGAGCTTCTAGCGCATCCTGATCTGGCTTCTTCAGCTTCCAAAACTTCTCCAAGAAAAGGGCCAGCTGCTTCTTGGATGCGTTGAACTGCTGGAAGCACACTTTCAAGGCGCCTGTCCGGCAGCGTTAAAGCCACTGCAAATTGCTCACAGCGCCGCACATATGCACACTGCAAGCAAGTGGCAATGGCATGACTTCATCTCCAGAAGGCGGTCAACTCTGGTTGGGTCCAAGCCATTCTTTTGGTGCCGCCCAGCTCTGGATTTGCGGGCATTCTTCGCCTTTACTGCCCGATTGCTGTTGTTGTACTGCCTCTTCTTTCTCTCAGCAGCTGGATCATGCGTGTTGTCCTTCCAAAATGTCCCTGCCTTAAACTGCACAAGGGACTGCCAGTTCAGCGCAAACACAGACTGCGCCGCCTTGCCACCGCTTGCTTCAGATTCAGATTTGCTAGATGTGGAGGATCCATCACTCTCAGTCTCATCTTCTGCGCCAAAGGGCGCAGCCGGCAGTGACAGGCGCCGTGCGCAGCGCCGCAAGGGTTCATCCTGCTCATCAGCAAAAGGCCTGACCTGTGAGGACTTCGAAGCTGAACTTGCATTGCGTAGTTGGCAGCCGGACTTTGGCTTGGGACCCAGCTGCAAGGCCTCCAGTCTCTCGTTTGACTCCGGCTTGAAAGCCCTTGAGGGCAAAGGCCGTGGGGCTTTTG